CACAAAGTAATTTAGCAGAATAAGTATAATTTATAATATTAATTAATGCTGCGGTTGTACTAATCTCTCTAGAAAAGAAATTGCATATAATATAATATAATAAAATTTTAATCGTATAGTAAATAAAAAATTTGCATTAAAAGTTTAAAATATGTGAATTAAGATAACTTACAATCTCAGACTTAAGATAACTTACAATTCTTAATCAATTTTCCCTATTATAAAATACACAGTAATATTCTGTCATGTAATAAATAAATATTATCTACCATTAAATTGTATTAAATTATAATGTAATAATTGATAATAGTAAAAGATAGAATATCATTAAATATTATCTTTAATTTTAAATGTGACCGAAAGTATATTTATTAAATAATAAATTAGCTGGTATTATAAATAATAAAAAATTGGACTATTACGAACTGATGTAATATTAAATTTTACGATGGATGATGCGGACCATTTAGTTGACAATTTGTTTACAGAAATAAATTAAATTTTTAGGAAAATTAATTTTTGTTTATAAATATTTTATGTCAGAAAGAATTAATAAAGAAATTTCATCAAACATGTGAATAGAATTATTAAACAAAATTAAATGTAATTCGTTTAAAAAAGAAATTTAAATTTCTAAAATTAATATAGACAGTTTTAATTTAGCTTAGATATACAATTTTAAAGTTGTATATTTTATTTAATAATTCTGTTATAAAAATAAGTCAAGAATTTTTTTTATTTCAAAGTTAACAAGTGTTCATAATACAAGATGAATGAATTAATGATATTCCAAATTAAAGTTTTTGATCGTTATTTACCTGTTTATTGCCGTTTGATTATTATAAACTGACTGTGTTCAGAATTGTAACACATTTCAAGAAAGTGCTTTTGTTCCCGGCTAGACAAAACTTGGATTAAAATTCATTTTAAATTTATATATGTATTATATACACGTGATTTGATTAATGATACTGTCCAGTTTTTCGAGGCAGTTTTTAAAACAATTTTCATCCATTCGGTATTAAAGATTTCCGTCACATTGAGAATAGAGTATTGCTTTTCTTGTATTCAAGGATTTATCAGGTCTTTCACGCTAATTTTCTCCAAATCTATAGTTTGTGATCATAGATAGATTGCATTACAGTCCAAAAATCGTCCAGACTTCCCGTCCTTATAAAAATATGTAAAAATTAATTCCATTAACGATATATATTTCATGATAAAGACAATATCAGCAGATAAACATGATTTTCTCAATAGACAGTAAAAACACAAATTTACACAATTTTTATAATTGTCGAAAAACACACATAATTTGCATCGTTCGCTCAGTTTCTTGTGGGACAGATGCCCGTGATTTTATTTGCACAAAACTGTGATATATGTTATAAAGTCTCAACACCAACTGCACCGAATGAATTTTAATCATTGAATAACAGATATCATTGAATAACAGATAGATAAATTTTATAAAAAAATGTTTAAAATTTTTATCATTATCATCTACAAATGAAAATAATTTTTATCATTATAATCTACAAACGAAAATACATATAATAAGATAGGATATGAAAAATAATTATATTAAATTTTATAGCTGATTAGTCATTGATTCCGAATAGCAAATTTTTAGATACAAAATTTTTTTTTTACTTTAACTAATGTTATTTAAATTTTTTCTTATTTCGAGAAGCAAGAATTGTATTTG